TTCTATATGACTAGCAGGTTGTTCGATTCACCTTACATGGGTATATCTGTATTCGTGTTAATACTTCAATGGAAGCTGTAAGCTGGAACTCATTAGAACAAATGTTGAAAGGGTTCGGCACAAACCTGCAGAATTTCAACAACCAGATCTTTAATGGGCGTAATTTTGTGATGAGTTTCGATCTTCCATATTGTAGATTTACAAAACCACCTCTTGAAATTACCTTTGATCGATTATTGTTTATATTTTCGACTACTATTGAACTTTACTACCCAGATAAACCAAACGATATCAGTATAATGTGGAAAAGGTATACAACATAATGACACAAGTAGTTAAGTACCACCCATAGGAAGTAAGAGTAACCTATGCATTAGAAGTGTGTTGCTGTAATGAAGCTGACAACTGTTTGTCCCAAACTTTTATTTTCATATTTTTCAAAAGATTCCCAGGTGGTTATCAAAACAGAGGATAGTTTAGTCTATTCCAAGATATATCTGTTATATAATGGACTTCCTTCAGTATTAAATACTTACAGCTAATCTTTGGGATACCCTGTTTGATCTAAATATCACACTTGTTGGCATTTACTTGCAAAGTATATCCATAATTTGAAGAGAATTTATATTTCACTGTAGATTAAAAATATCAAAGTTATAAAGCTTTATCTCTGTATGCTATTTAAATTACAGTCAATATCCATAGAACACTGGTTTATATTCACTAACTGGTCTCCGAACTAATATTGATCTCAGTTTCTAAGTCTAAAATAATGATCACATTTTCATTTGTTATGTTGGTTAGCACTCGGTGACTTTTTCAATGCACTGAAATGACATAACTTGTCAATGAACTATTCAAGTAACAAACTGTCTTTTATCAAAACGAGGTTTTGAATTTTTGACCTAATAATGGTTAACAACTTATCGTGATCCTCCAGACTAACTGCAATCTACCGTTTAGATGTGTATAATCTAAGACACTAGAAGACTTCGTGGATTCGGAAGCAGTATAATTCCTTTCAAGGTTGGATACTAGTTTCTCTTACTGATGAATCCCACTTAGAATGAAACTCAAGTCAATTACTTTTCATTATCGACTTCCAGCTGTTTTTTATCATAACGATTACAGTTTACTGAAACCTTAGTTCATATGACTCATCAATGAAGCCTGTATCAACATTAGGGTACATGTATACAACACTTGTTACCGATTGGGTCTGCAGTCAGTATATGCCCCACTAGTCACAGACTATTCTACTTAGGAAATTGTGAGAACTGGTTGGTTGGAAATCTGGAAGCACTGCACACCTGTTTTGTTCCAGTATTGGATTTTTCAATGATCAGCACCCACGACCACGTCGGGGGTGGGAGCCAGACTCATCGGGTCTCGCGACAGCCACGTTACCATTAGGCTACTCACTTTGAATCCAGTAGACCACATTTTCCAGTCTGTCAATTTGCGATATAACACTACCGTCGTCCAATCCTGTCGGTGAGTATTTGTCCTACCGTCCAACTCGGTTGACTCTATAGGGGTCGTAAGTGAGTGCTGTTGAGAAGTTTTAAACTAGGGTGAAATAGTTTTCTGATGATTCCATATTTTCAATAGTTCTCCGACTGATATGTTACATATTTTTGCTTTCTTAGGGTTTATAACCATCAAAATTATTCAACAATTTGTTTATGTGATGCTTATGCAGATGTATACAACTGAGAAGATTGCCTTAGTGATTCTTCATTTCTTTAGTTTATCAGAAAATTTGTTGTTGCGCAATCTTAGGTAGGTTGGCAACTGACTGAAATAGATTTCACTTATGCATATACACCAAATTACACCGTTACAATTATCAGCATAGTGTTATACCAACTCTTATGTTGACTGAGTTTACAACTTGTAAAAGCAAGGGGTTAGGAGATGCATACCTTTTATGCATACAAATTTTGTTGTTTGCCTTCAACATACAAATAGATAGACAGAAAAACAGCTGTTGTTATGGTTACATGAAAAGAAAATATTCGTTTTCAACTTTTATCAGTCAAGTTGCGTTTATTTGTGAATAACATAAATGTGTGAATCAATGCAAAAAGTAGACAGTATAATGCATAATCACACTTCTTTTGTATAGAAAGTAAATAAGAAGTTGCATGGAAGCTAAGTGAAATATACAGAGGGGGTGGGGTTATGAATGAATCAAAATTTACCAATTATTGGGTAGTAACCAATTTAATCTTGTTTAGTAATCGTTGCTAACTGATATCCATCGAGTTTTGTAGCCACATCGCAAACTGGGTCGGTAGTGTCAACTGAGCACTAAAGACTAGATGGATTGGTTTAATCGGTTCAGTCGAATAGGATGTGAGCTGAAGAGTCCGAAATAGGACGAGATCTGCATCCTGCATTCAATTGCTGGCCACCATTAGAAATGGTGGCCAAATGGAGGCAGCTGTACAGGAGTCCGTAAGCTGACAGAACTTGGTAAGTTGGGTACGAATTGATCAACAACGGGCAGTTTGAAATCCTAAAATCATAGATTTCTCCACATGTGCATGCATACCCCAGGGTCATCTGGAGTCAATAATGGTGAAGTATTTTACAGCTATTCGAGACCATACATCTACTACCCGACAGCCCTGTTAGTATGCTGTAAATTCGGTGTTAGTATTAGATCTGATATCTTGTCGATACGATACCGGGATAAGTTGAAAAATGCTGATTAGAAACAAGGTCTTGCTGGGGCCAATTTAGTTGATCATGTAAGTACAAGTAGTTGACATACACAACAATTTCATTTCAGACAGTTATGTATGTATATATGTATGCATGTACGTATGTGTGTGAGTTGACTACTTTAGTTGGTCTGAGGTAATTGCAAGAAGCTCTGTATCCAGATTTCTCGACTATTGACACTCGTCAGAAAGGCGTATCGGCAATCTCAAGGGAACTGGTGTCCCGTCTGAGATTTGAACTTGCGTTACCCAGTGCTGCTGTTCGGTAACCAATCAGTGTATCTAATTTAAGCTTACATTTAGTCAGTCATGCAGCAATGACGTCGCTGAGTGCCACGCTTGGTTACACGGGTTCGAATCTCAGATGGGACATTAGTTTCCTCGAGGTTGCAGATACGCCAGGCTGACGAGTGTCAACAAGCACGAAACTTAGGTCCAGTGCTTCCTGCCGACTACCTCCAACCAACCAACATCTGTAAAAGGTACACTACGACGGTGAGCCATCTAGCTTGGTGGCCGCATGAATATTATTACGATTATTAGAACACAAGCATTGTACGGCAAGGGCACCAAAAAATGAGCCACACAAAACAGCATAAAAACAATGTGAAGACATAAACGACGGGAAGTGGATAAGTCAGGAAGAAAAAACAATAAGAATGGCGTGATTAGAAGCGCAGTCCATTAAGGTATATTCGAAAAACTCCATTACTTTCCAACAGCAGAAGATAGGAGGAAACAACAGTATGACCGCCACTGGTTTCGATTCTGAGCCATATCTGATCACGTCTCAAGCCACCAAGTCGCATGATGTCTCGGAAACTACCCAGAGAGTCTTGCTGCACCGACAGATGCTAACTGGATAAAACTATCGTTCGTCCCACGGCACCACACCATACATTGAGAGCCCCTCCGATTCTTCCATCCAGTTCCAGGGCTAACAAACAGCAAGCCGTTGGGACGATATGCGTAACACATATCCAAGCCATTGAAGACGGTGTTTCCAGATGACTTCACTTGTTGAATGACGATCTCCATCATACACAAACACACGCTGTCATACCTCACAATTACTTACACGGTGTTGTCACCGGATACGAGTAATCCTACGCAAACTACTATGATCGAGCACACAGAGTCGTCTCACATCCTCAACTCAGACAGGCCAGATTTCATAGCCATACCGCAGAACTGCTGGCACCGAGGCATTGTAAACCATACCTTTTACGGTCAGACTGACATCGCGATGGCGGGAAAAGTGACCCAGATTGGTGTATGCCATTCTGGCTTTCGATATGTAATTGAAAATTTAACCACTCATACCTCCACCACCACTCACACAACTACCCAGATTCTAAGATAGGCAGCTGAGGTAATTTCAAGTTACTGTTCATCATGGACTGACATCAGTTGGAAGAGCATTGGGAATCTAGGAGTGCTGGTGGGGTCATGGGTGGGCACTGCTGAGGAGTACAGTACTATGACAAAACAGCTGTCCGGTGCTCCCAGATTTCCAATCTTTCTCCAACTTATGTCATTCCATGATGAATACTAACTTGAAATCAATAAATCCCCACGAACCCTTAAATTAAATTCATCTAGTGTTCATTGGTGAGGCAATTGCTGAAATTGTGACCGATGGGGCGAACCTGGTGGTCATGAGTATAAATACTCAATGATAACAATGGGTGATGGTCGGGGTATGTCGTGAACTAACAGAAGTTGGAAATATGGACCACTCGATTCCGACCCAGTGGCTCAATGGTAAAGTGCTGGCCACGGAACCTGGATATCCTGGGTTTGATCCCTGATGTGAAATGGTCATGGGTTTGCACTGCTGAGGAGTCCCATACTAGTGGGACGAAACAGATGTGCAGTGCTTTCAGGTTTTCAATGTTCCTCCAACTGATGTCAGTCCATGATGAACACCAACTTGAAAAATCACTAAATCCCCACAAACCCCCAAATTAAACTGCGATAATCTTTAGTTTTACGTCATAGATATTATTCAAAATCAACTGCTTACTGAATAAAAAAATTATTTCACTATATGGATTCAATTTACACTGATTTCTATAAAGCTGTATACAAAGGTGAAAAAGGGGATTGCTAATCTCCCCACATATTACTGTAAAAGACTAACCAGAAAACACACATCTAATTGGCAACAAAGTCGACAGGTATTTCAGTAGCCTGTTGTTGAACACTAACTGTAGCTTGAATTTTCACTTAACATCTATCATCTTCAGACATATATCAAAACTGAGCAGTAGGTGATGTAGTTTTATTTAATATACAAAATGGTAAGATTTTATTGGTTGTGTTTTTAAATGAGAAAATCAAAACCTACTCGTTTTTAAAGTAACTATATAAACAAAATTTTTCCCGAATTATCTCCAAAAAACAGGGTAGAAAATGTGTTGAAACTATAGGAAAATAATTAATATAATCGTATAAAAAAAGAAAAGCAAACTCAAAAGAAGGAACGTACTTGTGAAGTAAGAGTAAATATTGTATCTCTTAATATACAGAAAAAAAATTCATTATTTATCAGTGTAAGGCTGATGAAGATAGGTTGGGTGCGAGACACTCTTTAGGGAATTTTTTCTAAGGTCTATTTTCTATTTTTAATAAACTACTAGTATGCATTTCATGGGTTTTACGGTGTTTACTTAAATGATCACTACGCGTAAAACGTTTAGTGCATACATCACATTGAAAACGTTTTTCTCCAGTATGTGTACGTATATGACGTTGTAATTCATCTGATCGAGTAAATGCTTTATTGCATAATTGATATATACATTGAAATGGTCTTTCATCATTATGCCATCTTAAATGAGCTTTTAAATGACTTGTTTTACTGTAATTTTTACCACATATATTGCATACGTGTACTTTATGAAGTGAACTTCTTTTTTCGACATTGAAACTATTGAAAACATCACTATTTTTATTATTCATGTTGTTTTTATGACAACTTGAGTTCATATTACGCGCCAATAGACAATTGAAACATGTACATTTTTGACACTTTTTATTGGAGTATGACTTTCTTGATTTTTTATTTTGATATATTGTGGATATGAAAGTTGATGATGATGATGATGATGATGCCGAAGTTGAGAATACATGCCTATCATCACTGATATTTTTATTATTTACAGAAATTCCAGGAACATTCGGTGTAGTTTGTGGTAGTATTCTGTTCAAATGTTCACGTGAAAAGTTGAAAGGAATCAATTTTAATTGCTGATATTCTTTAAAACTATTTATTTCATGCATATTTAAAGATGTTGTCGGCAAAGTTTGAGGGATTTTATTTATATCGTGTACTTTAGAATAGATTATATTCGTGTGAGAAATTGATGATAGAGATGATGACGTCGAAAGTGTATTTATTTGTTGTGGCTGATGTATCAAGGTAGGTGAATTAAGCGATCGATTATTGACTAGATCTGTAGCTAAATGACTATTGTCTACAGTGATATGAACTCGGTTATCACATCCATGAGGTATGCGCCTACTTGGGACCGGTTTAAATGCACTTGCTTCTGATTGAATACATGGTTGTAAGTGATAAGAATTAGGTATATAATTGATCTGTGAATGACTTGAAGTAACTTTCTTCTTCAAAAGTGTTGATAAATAACTATTTTCAGACAATGTTGATGTTGTTGAAGGATTCATTGACGTCGTGATTGGTTCAGTTTTAAAATTATGTCCAACTGTGTTCTCTAATGATCTTCTTGTCGATGTTACTATTTTCTCGCTTATAGTACTTATGCTTGTAATCTGATTTAGATGATCTTGAAGTCGAAGTTTTAAAACTTGCATTTCTCGACTACTCCAAAAACTTTCTGTTTTGTCAACTAGATTATTACTTTGAAGACATCCATTCAATTGGTTTGATGATTTTATACTACTTGATGATTTAGCAGTAGTACTGAAATTTGTTGAATCTACTTGTTGATTTATTTCATTCATATTTAAGTGATTTTTCAAAGAATTCCATCTGGTTGTATCGTTTTGTGAACATTGAACCAATTCATTGACACTAAATTTATTTTGTTCAATTTGACTTTGACCATATGAAATATGAAGATTTAATACTTCTTTTGAAGAATAATCCTCATGTGATAAATTCATTTCTACAGATCTAGAAAGTTGTAAAAAAGAAGTTATGATTAGTTAAAATGAATCTTCAGACTGAAGTGTGGATTCAAGAAATAGTCAATTCTCTGTTTTATGGTTACTGAATATAGGTTGGATTCAGAAAATCTCAACAGCTAAGTTAATAAAGAACTGGTAGACCAGTATCTGTTAGTTGGATGGATGCAATCAACAGGAAGCCTTAAATCTAGTTTTCAGGCTTTTTGGTGCTCGTCAGAAAGTTATATCTACAACCTCAGTGGGACTGATGTCCTGTCTGAGATCCGAAACTGTATCACCCAGTGTTGCAGTCGGAAACGTTACCACTGAGTTGTTCGCACCGTAACTGGCCTTATGTAGGACTGAATTAGGTACACTGACTGGTCATTAGAGGGTAACCAACTTTATGTCGTCTGTTTCTAAGTATTGATCCCACTCTATCAGCCATTTTTCAATGCAGCCACCGGACTAGTTGATTCCACGGTTAGGACTAAACAATATGAAGTCGGTTACGCTCTAGTGACCAGCCAATAGACCTGTATCTCTTACTGACATCGAATCTGTACATGAAATATTTGTTGGCTGAACTTAAGCTGAAATCTGGCTGGACGTTGAATCTCATGACTATCTGGTTAGATGTTTGACTTTGGAACCAGGAGGCAAATGAGTTATAATCTTCAAGACCCAGATATGTTCAATCTAACTGATCGTCGTGTATCCCAACTGAAGACCGGTCTACCAATAAGACTTGTCTTAAAGGTTGTATCCAGGCACTGGTATAATGTAACTACACTTCGAATTTGAAGAACCACTGTTCAAGTCTACTATCACGACCTTCTACTAGTTCTACCATTTTAAAACAGTAATAAAAGATGAGATAATGGGAACATAGGAAAATTAGATAGTGAATCACAAAATTTGTTTCAGTAAATCATACAAAAAATCACTTCGCTTTTAAATGTAACTCTGGCTTCTGAAATACTAAAATGAAAACTTATATTTATTACAGTGATGGTTATCTGTCTCTGTGTCGTAGACTGAGAGATTGACGGTTTCTGAATTAAAATAAGACTTGTATATTCATCTTGGTGATTAGTAGTGGGATCCATGACGGACGTTTCATTCTACTTATGAATCGTTAGCTAGATGTAGCTGCACCCCAGTGAATGTTTTTCCCACTGAGACTCGAACTCATTACCCATCGCTTCAAGTGCCAAAGCGCTATCCAATAGATCACTGAGAAACGATACTGTTTACAGCATTTTATCAGTTTATGCAATATTATATGCGATTATCTTTACATTGGATAGATTGAAGGCAAAAGGAGTATTAAAATGTTCGATTTTAAATAACAAATATTGTTTTTTTTGACTAAGATAAAATCAAAAGTCATTTTGACACTGCAAACAAAACTCTTTCAATATAGCTTATTGCTGAAGTCACTTGAATTACAACGGTGAATTGGGCAGACAGTTTCGAATCACTGACAAAAATTAAGTTTCATTGAGATAGCAGATATATATTCTGCTGATAAGTACTAGTCAGTACAAAGTCTTATTTGACATATACTTAAAAACTATTTTTAACCATTCAACGTTGAGATGTGGATACAGGCTCATTGGATACCTTACACTGGATAAAGGGATTAGCTGAATAGAATTTTCTTTTCGACCATAGGAAGATAAAACTATTCATTGCAATATTTACCCAAAAATGACCTAAAGATTGTTTTATTTATTTGGAACACGAACTGGGTACAATATAGACACTAAGAGATGAGTCATACAAAGAATAAAACAAAATTAAGAAAATGTAAAGGACAGGAGAAAGAATGGAAAAACAGATATAGGTTATTAAGGCTCCAGTCTCAAGGATACTTTCAAAGAAGTATTCACTACTTTCATCTTTCTTTTCAGTAGTAGAAAAAAAGAAAGCTGGAGTATGATAGCCAGTGATTTCAATTCTGAGCCATGTCTGTTGTTGTCTAAAGTACCTGAGTTGCACGATCTCTCGAACCTTATTCAAGGAGTCGTAAGGCACTGATAAATGCCAACCCAGCAATGATCCTTCATGCCGCGGATCTGTATCATACATTGACCATCTATCTCCTTTTTCTAATCACTTCAAGGGTAAATGAGCAGCTCAAGGTTATGGAGCCTCTGAAATGACTTTTTTAGAATATGTCCAAGATGCTATTTAGAGATAATCTTATTCAATAAATGACGATTTGTATGACGCTGAAAAACACGCCATCTCACTTCAGAATTACCTTCACTATATTTCTGCCGGTGATAGCAATCTTACGGAGTTAAGTGCTATCGAACACACAATTGTTGGATATCTCTAGCTTGGAGAAAGCATACCCAAGCATTGGGGGTACTCATGAAATATAAGGCGTTTTAGCGATAAAGTTATATTGTATAACAATGAATTCATACGGAAAAAGTTATAACTGGTAAACAGTAGACTTAAGATAATATCAAAAGTCTCACTGATTAATTTTTGCTCGTCTGGGAACTTAATGACTTCAGGATGGTTTTCATTGCAAATTGATACTCAATAAAAGAAAAAAAACAGAAGAAACTGGAAAACAAGGGATTATTGTTTTATACTGGTTGTAGACCCTTCGTGACCTTACATGGGAACCTGGACATTAAGCAATACTTTAATGGAGTCAGTTATCTGGTTTTTTTTATGCTAAAGTACTCACTATTACGCAATAATAGCATGGTATAAAAACTAACCCATCCCTAAGACAACCATGAGTCTTTTAACCTTTCAGTCACTGCCTATTTAAAAGTACAAAGCTGTGAATGTTCCTGAAGTTGATATACTGATTCCTAGGTGGCATTTCTTAATTAAAGTCCTCTAACTATCAAATCGAATCCAATATTCGCAAAATACAAGCAGCTTTAAAGGTCATCCTAACAAATACCGAAGGGTAGATGTCCATATCTTAGTTAGAAGGGTGATCTTTAATGTCACTCCTTTGTGAGAAATCTCACTTCGATTTCCTATGGAAACCAAAATATTCAGATCATATAATATGATCTAATAGACGCCATAAGATTATGAGCATGAAAGCTGTATTAAATAAACTATTGACTGACGGATCAATTCAGGTATCTGAGTCAAATCATCCCTACTACACCACTGATGAGGTGTGCCCCAAGCGAGAGAAACGGGATTTAAATTACTCCGATTTACCTAGCTACCACTGTTGATTGAAGTAGATGGTGTACAACTGCTCCTGTCAGTCATTAGCACATTTCCTACACCCCATTAGTAAATACCATTGGATTCCGACCCAGTGACTCAATGGTAACGTGCTGACCATGAACCTGAAGGCTGTGGGTTCGTTCCCTGGTGGGGCAAGGTCATGGGTGCACACTGCTGAGAAGTCCCATACTAGTGGGACAAAAACAGGTGTCTAATGTTCCCAGGTACCCAATACTCCTCCAACTGATGCCAGTCCATGACAAATACCAACCTGAAATATCATACTTCAACAGTCTTACTGGTGAATTCACACATTCCGATATTAATTTTCACTAGATCCAGTGAGGGATCTTGGTAGGCGTGAACAACAAATGATCACAAAGTATATTTCCGACTTGAAAATCTTATAAGACCACACTATATCAAGTTATTTCATCAGAAGTCACATCATATAATTATTGCACTGATGTAATAATATATAGTTGGCTATCTCATCAGTTGCTAGGGTGGTCTTTAAAGTCAGTCCACTTTTAATTCACATTAAATATTAACCGTCATTGTTCTCTAGAAAAATATCTTAGTAGTGTACTTTCATGACCCCCGAACATGATCAATAGAATCATATGATAAGAATAAGCACTCGTGAGCAGTTGTCACTTAACAATCACATCATTTCATTGAATCGAAAACCTGTTTTTCAGCGTTCACATTACAGTTTTACAGCAAAATATCACATGGATGATGATGAGTAATGCAACTAGCCAGAGATTGGTTTTCACATATGAATAAATCTATTTCAGGTTGTATATCTTGTTTGTCATGAGGTTAGTCTTTTTTTAGAAAACCTTGACATCATATTGTTCTCTACTCCCTCTAAAGGTTACAAAAAAAATTAGTTTTACCCTCAATGAAAGAATTCTACTCATGAGTTGTTCAGTGAAATCGTTAAGATTCAGTTGTCATGTTATGGGTGAGTAATAATTCACCCTTTAAATAATTCTTAAAGAAGATGCGATCGAAGTCATTGCAAATAAGGTCAATTGTTTGTAAACACTTGATAACCAGGTGATGAAAGTATTTTATGAGTGACTTTATTGACCGCCCTAGCAACTGCTGAAACAGCCAGTTAGGTTTCAGCATACCGTCCGGAAAGGAAGTTTTTCATAAAATAAAGAAACGCAATTGGTTGTTGCGTTGTTGCTAGGGTGGCCTTTAAAGTCACTCCGTTTAATAAGCCTTCTCAACCCGCATTTAACACAAGTTTATATAGTCTAATCGCGTTTAAGCTTTATTATCGAACCTGTATTCACATACTATTTTACTAAATCAACGGTCTTTTTCTTAGAGCTATTTGTAGGAAAACACCGACATTGATTCTGAGCTATATCACCTCGAGTCTCCAACCCGTAGTTTTTTCGTGTCACTTGGACCTCTACTCGGCGCAGGTCAACAGCGAAAGATTTCGTGCAGTGATGCCATACTTAAGTCTAACCACCCCTGGCCTCTTTCCAGCCTCAAATTACCTCAGCTAACATTATGCAACGAGGTAGACGTGAGATATGTCCGAATCATCTCAGTGGGTGAAGGTTTACAACTACAACAACTGACTTTCATCTCCTCCTTAAAACTTTGCACCTGACTTGTGTGTTACTTGCGTGCTGACATCAGCACATGGCCTATGTTACGAAGGCAATGGTGGTCAAACACCAGTAGCCTTCTAAAGTCCACTTTCACAGGCGTGCTGTAGAACACAGCAAACTGCAGCGTACTCTGCCGTTAATAGGCAGT